TCCATCTAATGATTAGATACAATACTCAACATGTATAAAGTACTTCTAAGGCATCTAGAAGGAGGGATGAAGAAGTCTTTTTAGGCTGAATTCTTATATTACATAAGATTGAGAAGTCTAGTGCTATAACCATGCCTGTGTTCAAGGTGCTTCATCAGTTAAAGTTGACTTGTAGTTATAACAGAACCTCTGCTTATGCTTATAAATATAATAATATATTTTTACGGGTATTTTCTCATGCTGCCAGTCTTCACAACTTCAGAAGTTATTGACAAAAATGTTTGTGGTAGAGTGCTTCATCTTACTGTTCATTTGCAGCTTTTCTTCTAGCCTGAGCAATAATTGGGGTCACCGTGATAGAGTAGTGTTGTTTTGCGATTAGCTTCAAAGTCTTGTTTGGTTATTAAATATATTAGTGTGTGTCCAATTATGTCAAGTTATTTTAAAGTGGTTTTGGAATATTGCTGAAGCTCTTTATGAGCTTCATACTCAGACAGTATTTTCTAGATCTTTATGAAGTAATTGTTAAGATCTTTTTTATATTTCTGAATATGAAAGCAGCTTCATTGGACAGCTGAATTACATTAGAAAATAACATTAAATGAGATCTAAGTTTATGAATTTACATGCCTTTTACAACCTTTTAGCTTTTAAAGCAGTACTACTTTAAAGTAGTTTACTCAACCATTATCTTGTATAGCTTGACAAAGTATGGATTAAGTTTAAAAATCTCAATTTATATATGTCCTTTAGGCACAGAATGGGGAGTCTTTATGTAAGGAGTGATCAAGTTGGCCAAAAAATTGTTGAAAGAAACTGGATTTATTTATTATTCTTTTTTTTGCCCTCTTATTGGTACATTGGATTTGCTGTACCTTCTAAGGTTGTCTGGGGTGGTGTAGTGTTACTTCTAATTCCACAGCTTTTAGGGAACACCTGGGCATCCTACTCTGTCAGTGGCTTTCACAGTATTGTTTATCTGTCATTTGCTCTATGTCAATTGAATTTTCCTATTAGAAAAGGAAAAAAAACCCAGCTGTACTGTAACAAGTTTGAGTGTGGCTGCATCCATGAACTACATTAAATATAACCTCATGAAAACTGCTTTTCAATTCTGTTAATAATTATTCAGCTGTGAATTTAGAGGCTTTGTTCAGGGATTGAGATCCCATTTTGTGCTACATGCTTTGTAAACAGTGCAGAGAAAATACACTCTCTGCTCTAGAGACTGGGAAAAGACCCCACGTTGTTCAGAAACATTATAGTTGGATTCAGTGTTTTTAGCTGTGCAAGCTGACTTGGGATCTTAAAGTCCAGTTGCACGGTTTCTGTCTTATATTGTCAGCAGCAGCTCAGGTTCCTGAGGCCGAGCTCTGTTTCCAGTTTCATGTGAATCACTGGAGCCTGGAGCTGCACATATGTGTCTGAGAGCAGAACTGAGAGAGTTGTGTTGCGCTGATAGCCTTGTGCTTGTCATTTTGTTAACAAACCTGCCATTAACATGCCAGACAGAAGGGACTCCAGCTCATTTTCCAGTTTCCCATCACAATTACCTTGATCTTTTGGTCTAACAGAAATCAAAACATCTTCCCTCCTTGTCTCAATTTCTACCCTTAGCATCAGTCAATGTGACTGACTAGATAAAAACACCAAATAAATTGAATTTAAAAAAGAATTGGTTTTATCACCACCTTTTTGGAGAAGAGCTATTCCATAAAAAATTAGGCAGTGAGGTTTTCCCCCCCCTTAATATTTTCATTTCCTTTGTAGGAGATTCAGATTATCTATTTTACGATATTTAGGACTAATGTATTAGACCAAAGTAAAAGACCATCTAGAAAATCTAATGCAGATTATAGCCAGCAGAAATTATCAGAGATGTTTGCTTGAGAAATGTATAGGAGAAAATATTTTTAAAATATATTTAATATCTGCTAAAATTCCATATAATGTACTGAATATTTTCAATTCTAGGAAAACTACATAAAAGACATCTTCCAACACGTTCTGGAACAGTGAAATTAAAATCACAGCTACGAGAACATTTTTTTTCCTACAAACTCTGAATTTTTCTGACTTCTATAAATGCATCCAGTAAAAGCAGATTTAAAGTTCATGAAAGCTGTCAGGTATCTTAAGTAGTGCTGCAATGTAGAGGAGTTCTTCTGTCACATCCATTTTAACAGAAAAGTCAGTAAAGCTACTACAGACTCTATCGATGAGCATCTGCCTCCAGGTGTATTCTATATAGGTTGACTTGCTTTGGGAGTTTTTTTGTGGATTTGTTGGGTTTTGGGTTCTTTTTCCCTGTGGTTAAGGTTTAGACCTCTTTTAGAATGGATGATGCTGGTGCTTTGTTCAAGATGCTACACACTACTGGCCATTTGCTTTGAGAGCTTTTGATTTTATTGTCTTTGTTTTTAGCAGTCAAAAGAAAGCTCTCTGACAACCTCTTCTTGGTGGTCTTAGCTCGCAGTTGAAAATACGCCTCTGGAGTTTACCAAAATCTTTGTGCCACTGCTGCTAGCCAGAGAAGCTGTGTCTGCTGTGTCAGTTATTGGTGTTCTGCACATGCCACAGATATTCCCAGAACTGTATAATCCAGCTTTGACCCTGTTCCTCCCCAGCTTGAAGGAGCTGAATAGTTAGTTAAGTGATGGACTTCCTGGCAGCACAGACTGTGCCACAGGAAACCTGGGACCTCTTGAAATACTGTGTACTTTTTTAACTCCACCCATACTTTAAACATTTGACAAGAAGTTTCAGGATAATCCCATAATTTGTGCCTTGATTTAAATATGACTGAGTACCGAAACTTCTCTTTTTATTTTTGAAAGGAGTAGGAGTTTTTTCACTTGTTCTGTATCAAAGGAGTTCTGGCTTGCACCAGGACTGGAGTACTCTGGTTTATTTTCTCTGTCCCAGCCATAGTTGCATTTCTATTTGTGCTTTTACTGTGGGGTTGGAAACGTCCTATGAATGCCAGCTATTGTCTGCAATAATTGGTCTCTGAATAAAGAACAGTATTTCTTCCCTACACACCTGCCCCATTAAAGCGTGCCCACTTCTGCACCGCCTCGGCTCACCCGACAGACACGGCTGATTGAAGCTCCTCAGTTGCTCCTGTCCGTGGGATGATGAGAGCTGTCAGGTAGTGAGACTGTTCCAAACGAGCTTGACGCTAATTGCATGTAAAAGTACCTTCCAACTACAGGGAGGGTGCTGTAGCTGCGGCACTAACTCCAGTGAACAGCAGCTGTGAGGATATAATTCCTTTTCATGGAATCCAACCTAAGTGTACATTTTGTTGATTTTATTTTTGACATTTTTGGTGGAGTATCTTAAAGGTAGAGAAAACTTTTCCTCTTGTTATCGAAACCAGAAGAACAAGAAAGCTGCTTTCTCTGGCTTTTCAAAAGCTTCAGGATAGAGTCACTTCACAAAAAGAGGTTGCGTTTGGATCTAACATGAGCAGGGTTATTAAATGCACAAAAAAATAGCACAGGTCCTTTGTGTTTCCTCTTTGAGTCTTGATTTGATGTAGGTTTCTGGAGCATCATCAATTGATCAATAAAACATGTTAGACTGCATGCTAGTACTGATTAATTCACACCTTTGGTACACAGTAAGAAACAAGGTGAAGCCTGGTGTCTATAAAGGGACTTGCTAAGTGCATTAGCCAGTTGTCTGCTAATGTGTGCAGTGTGTCTCAGAGGGCCACCCTAGCAATTCCAGCCCTGGACACCTGATGTGCCAGTGGCATCAATCGGCTGTGGCAGCGTCGGGAGTGCAGGGAGGTCCAGCCGTGCAGCAGCTGGCAAACCCTGCTGTGTATTTCCAGGTCTCATGGAAAGACTGAGGGGGAAAAAAAGAAATCTAGTATTGCTGAAAAAAATTAGCCTTTGGAGTCTGGGCTGTTTTAGCAAGACTTATTTAAAGCTGTATTTTAACCTTCTACCAAAGTTTTGATTGCATGTTTGAAAAAGGACTCTGTTGCAAAGGATCCCTTTTGCTTATTTTGTATCTTTTTTTTTAAAAAACAGAATCCAGAAGTGGTGGCTGTAAACTGGAAGAGCTGCTTTTCTCCCCACACAGGAGGACTCACACATTCCCAAGTGGCCAGCTTCTGACAGCTGTGTTTCTTTAATTTCTAACTCTTTTCATCTCCCTATGTTTAAACCTTTGTGAGAACACTGGTGAATTTTACTGGAAAGGATTGGGAGGGTTTCACTGTGCTCCCCATGTTGCATTACCTGACTGGGTTTACAAGTTCTAACCTTTTTATAGTTGGTTATGTCCAAATTTATTCCAGACCCTACTGAGTCTGTGAAAATATAAAACTGTTAGAAAGTTAAGCATGCCTCTTTGGCCATGACACTTAAGCTTAAGGTGGGATTCAGATGCCTAAACACAGACTCTGAGTTCTATAATCGAACTTCCTGAGATGGTTCTGTGGTACTGGGGAGAAGAGTAGGAAACCAAAGGGAGATGTGGATCATCCAGAAGTGGCAGCTAGAAGCCAAAGGGATATGTTATGGCATCTCAAGTGGCACAAATTTTTGTGGTTATATGACTTGGTCACACCTTTGATGTCATTTAAACAGAATACTTTGGCAAATGTGGGCAAAAGGGAGAGAGTGATGGACGTAGGAAAATATAACTGTCCCTGGCGGTCAATGTACTACCATATTTATTGCTGGAAAAGCTGGTTTAAAATCAATCTTTACTATCATAGCATTTTTTACTGCTGATGTGTTTGAGTATTTGGCATACTGTGCACATTTGTAGTTTTGAGAGAACCGACATTAATAGCTATTAAGTAAATGCATGGCATTGTTAATTACCTCCAGTCATGTAATTTATTGAACTTGCAAAACTTAAGTTCTTGAGTGCTATGACTAATTATAAGATTGGAAATTAATCCAGAAGTGGAAATTACAGCCATACTTGAAAATGTCTCTCAGGCAACTTTGATCATTTTCACGTGCTTTCATCCACAGGTCTCTACGAGGAGATACGTCAGTGCCGTAAGGCCTGTGGAGAAGCTCATATGAAAACAATCTTGGCAACAGGTGAATTGGGGTCCCTTGCTAATGTCTACAAAGCCAGTATGATTGCTATGATGGCAGGTAAATATATGTGGTTTTCTTCTCAAGCTAAGAAAGTCTCTGCTATATTATTTATGATGCTTTAAAAATTCTAGTCGTGGAAGTTTAGTTTTGTCGAAAGTAGAAGAAACTGTTATGTAGCAATTACTGAAGTTGCAGGTGTAATGATGAAGTGTCACTTGTTTTGTATAACCTAAAAAATGGAATGAAATGTTAAATAACACTTAAAACTGCTAAATGGCAGGATTTGTAGGAACAAGTAATATTTGTTGTCAAACATCTGATCCTTGGTATGTTTAAATAAGACACATACATTTGGGGTAGATACACTTGTTGAGGCAGTTGTGGTGACCTACAGATAGGATGTTGGGTGATGCCATGTCAGCTTATTTTAAATGCAAGGGGAACTTCCCTGTGAAGATTGATGCTGACAGCTCTCATTTTTGGTTTGTGGTCACTTCTTCTGGCCAACCTCTGAGAGGTTTGGGAAACCAACTGTATGGGAAATGCAGTGAAGGGAAGAAAACTGCAGGCCCCAGCAGGCACTGGGATGGGCTAGTTGTTGACTGGTTTTAACTGGCACACTCAAAAGCAGTGGCTATGTATACTTTGTGGGGGTTACCTTTTTGCATAGCTGTAGCACCCATTTGAGCTCATATTTATTGTCTGCTGTTTTGGGGCTCTGCTGGTACAATTTTTCCTGGTTTACCCAGGACTTTGGATCTGTGTTTTAATGCTATCTTTAAGATGCAAAACTGGGAATTTGCTTCTAGGCACTTGCTTTTTCCACCATGCTTGAAAGAGGGCACTTCCAGTTCATTTCTGGAAGTTGAAAGGTATACTAAGAACCACTTGGGTTCTTTTAAACTATCTTTTAAACTTCCCCTCATTTTTGTGTTGATTTTTTTTCTATTGTAAAGTCTTCATATCTGGAATTCTTATTGTAAAGCGTCTTGTCAGACATATTCAACTTGCTGCTGACCTCATTGTCACCATACACGGTGCTGTGCTTATCTAATTCAAATGTAATGGAAAGCATTTAAGGCTTTTAATATGCTCAGCTACAATGTCAATTAATATCATCAGACACAGAGGATCAGTATCATGCCACTAAATATTCTTTTTAATTAGAAGAGGTGTAAGAGATACACATTTCCTGTCGTTTAAACTGATGTACTAATCATTATGATCACTTTTCATAACATGGAGTAGTGAAAAATTCAGGTTGTTTTACCATTTTCAGAATTTTTGCTGGTGTAGTTTTTTTGAAATACAGCAGATGGCTCTATTGTTAATGATTTTCCTTGCCTAGTTATTCATTTTACAACATACTTATCCATCAGAATATATGCAGTAATTTCCCTATTTCAGTCTCTTGCTTTCTCTTTGTGGATCGATGTAAAAATAAGAATTTATTGGTGCCCTACACACATGCATTGAGGACCAGATTTTCAGACTCCAACTTGTCAGAACTGGTGAGAACCTCAAATTCCAGTTGAATTTTGTTTGATTTGTATACTTGTAGCATTTAGACCAAGTCACTTGGCACAGTAGTTTAAATCCTAGCTTTAGTATCCATTTAGTATCCATTTTTTTTCAACTTGTGACATGATTTAAAAGAAAGAAAAAAAAGCAGATGATCTTGGCAGGCCCTCGCAGGTTTTATCTAAGATCAAACAGTAACAATGCTCATAAACTTGACCCTATTACTTGGTTTTATATGAGGAAATAGTTACACAGTACAGTGAATTCAATTGCAAAACTGGCTTTAGAAGTTTTTCCTGCCTCTGACCAGTTGCTCCTGTCCTTAACAGCAAAATTTGCTGCTCCTTCAGCTGTGGTGTTAGAAGTGCTTTTCATGCTGTGCTGTAAGCTGAGTTTTCAAAGCAATACACTTGAAAATTACTCCAGAAAAGGGTGAACTATTTTGCTGTGTGGCTTTTGTTATTGCTTGGAGATGTTGGTTTTTTTTTAAATGGTCACAGCCTCAGTAATCTGGTTTACAGCCTTGCCTTACATGCAGTTGTATCAGTGCAACTGAGGAGGTGGCGTGCAGTCCTCACACTGTTTTCACTTCACTGTACGTGATGTCAGCCTGTCATGTAGGGAGCACACTATCCTAGGCTTACAGATGTTTATGTTGCCCTTGCAGAGCATGCACACATGTCACCTAGATTCTGAAGCACAAAGCCACTAGACATGCAGCAAAAAGTATGTAAAATATATGTATTCCTATGTGTCTCATTTGTGAGACTCAGAAGGCTGAGAGAGTAACCCAATTCTGATTTATCAGTAGCTCTGTGGTTGAAAAGCTTGCCTGGGATAGGTGGGACTTGGTTTCCATGACTGAGGTTCTTCCATGACACAGAGATCAGTTTTACAGTGTATTTGCTGTTAAGCATCTCAGTCCCTCCTGATAGGGTTGTTGTGCTTTGCTCAAAGCAGTTAACTGAGCACAGAATTCGACACAGATGTCTCCTTTCCCAGATGACTTTCCAAAATTTTTATGTAGTCTTCCTTGTGCCGGGTGAGGAATTATTGGTATGTGCTGGGGACCAAAGCATGTTATGGTTGGTCTGATTCAGTTCTCAGGTAGGGGGTTCAGTCACTGGACATGCAGCCAGGCTGCACAGGTCACTGACTTGGAAAGGGTTGGTAAATGGTCAAAAAATGGGCAGCTCTGCATTGTTTGGGGTTTTAAAAGAACACTAAGGGCCGTGCTCAAACTGGGGAGATGTGCCTGTGCACTTTGTGTTCAGAGGAGCCTGCACAGGGCACTTCCACAGGCAAACAGCTGTGCTCGGAATCACAGCCCTTGCGGGATTGTTGGAAGCCATGCACTGCACACCCGTGAGTGAGACATGCAGATCCCAGCACTGCAGTGAAGGTGGAGGCCAGTTGTAGAAATGGTGCTTTGCACAACATGCCTGTGTATAGGATGTTAATACTTGCACCTGCGAGAACTTGGGAAACAGTGTTGCTTCACAGTGAGATATGAGACTAATTTGCCTCTACTTGGATCGGTGGCTCTTGTCTCTTACTGTCTCTGAAATAATTTTCCACAGCTACTTTTTCTTTCTTTTTTAGCACAGTAGATGAGGAGAAAGACATCAGAATGGGAGCAGGCTCACAGTTAACCTAAATTCCTTTAACCATGTGATTACAGACTTGACTGACATGCGATAAATTCTACTGGAATATTTAAGAACCTGTTTCTGAGTGAAAGAGGCTGACAACCCTCTAAGGACAGTGACTCACCTGGCAAGAATAATCCTTGCAGTGCTAAGGAGGACATGATGGCAGGTAGCATTGCACATGAGAGGTTCCATGTCCCTACCAAAGGAGCACACTGTTTTCAGGAAGCTGACCAAGACAAATTCTTAGTATTGAACCAGGGAATTTTTTGTCATTTGGTTTATAACATCCACTGCCATTTCTTGAGCTTCTTGAAGTCCTGATGGTGGTTTGAGTACATGACTTTCTCTAGCAAACTGACTGCATTTTTTACTCTGCTTTGGGACAATAAGTAAACTAATTCATGGTTTTTACTGCCTGATATATACTTACGTGAGTCACATCCCTTTCTGTAGGACACACTGAAGTTTATGTCTTTGTAGTCTCTTGGAATAAACAGTCCTAAGGAACACTAATGGGAGTGCCTGACTCCCCCATACTAGTGTTAACTATTCTCTCTCCATCATGGTGTCTTTAAGCAGTTCTTGTACAAAGTATGAGAGGTAGACCATTTTTTAACTTTTATTTTTTGACACAAAACATCAGAAACTGCCAAGCAAACCAGAGAAGGAAGGGAAAGATGAACTTGAAGTGGGAAAGGAACACTTCATTAAAGTTGTTGATGACTTAATTGCATATTTCAGTCATATATTAGGTATTTTATTCTGGAAAACCACATTTTAACCATATTACCTAATTACAAAGTCTTTATTGTTCTGTATAACAATTCATATTCATTAAGGTGGAGGAAGTGATTAAGTAAAAGTACTTTAAAAGTGAGAACTTCATCTATGTCATTTTGACAACTGCTCTTGATAGAACAGCTCCTTTTGCATCACTCTTTGGGAAGCTAAGGGAGCACAGCAGTGACGTGAAAGATATTTGTTTTCATTTTATATATATATCTATATATCTAAATAAGTACCTCTGTAAAGATCAGGAAGGAGTGATGTAGGCTCTTCTGCAGCTCTGCTAATGTATGGGGTTTAAACAATTTTTTCATAGGTCATTAAACAGTTAGTCAAATAAACTGTATGTTTGGATACTGACTAATGTACTCACTGAATTTAGAAAGGGAATGAGTTAGTGCTAAAACAAAGTAACTTCTAAAGCCTCTAGCACAAAACCCCCTGTAAATAGTAGCAGGAGGTATCTGAGGCAATAAGATGATAGTCTAGAGGAAGAAAATTAAAACGAATTAAATGTGTGAGCAGAATTTTTTTTAGATCCTTTGATGCTGTTTATTCCAAAGTGAACATACATAATATGGCCAAACAGTGAAGAAAAGCTTTGTGTTGCAGTTCACAGGTGAGCAGAGATGTTTTGGAACATCACCAAATAATACCTGGCTACGCAAAGCTTTTACCTCAGCTCTAAATAAGGTTTTTATACTCTGGTTAAAATTAGGGAAGACAAATTCTAACATACCAATAGCTGTTCTTGTTCTGAACACTGCCTTGCAAAGATTTCTTTTGAGTAGGGTTATGTGGTGTGGCTGTAAACGTGCTAGCACTCACCTAAGTGCAAGGGGTGACCTTCCTACTGCTGGATGTGGACCACCATGATCCAAAACTTCTGCCAAGCAAGTGTTTCATGAAAAATGAAAGAAGCAAAGGAAACCAAACTAGTAAAATTGACTGAAAAGCTAGGGATGCTTTGCAAAAATGCAGCTAATGTAGGAAAAAAGACTACTGAATAAGTAATAATACTTGGCACTTAGATAGCACTTTATGTCTTCAAAGCACATACCAACATTAACAGAATAAATCTTGCAATTGCCTTGTGAA